TTCCTTCCTGCCTTCCTTCCTTCCTTCCTTCCTGTTATTTTGGTTGTTTGTAAACATTTAAACTTTGAACTGATAACTGTCTTTGGTGTTCTCTTGGTAATCATTTATATGTTGAATTAAACAATAAATTAAGAACTTTACAAAGATTTATATTTGGAAAAGTATGAAATTTGAACTTAAAATCTGTAGGAACTCTGATTTAAACCAACGCCTAAAAATAAATATTAATATAATAATAAATTATTTGAATATCTTTTCTAACAGTTGTGTTATTTGCTTGTTTCTTAGTGATCATTGAAAATCCTTTAGTTTCCACCAAAGACCCGGAGAAAGGAGACAAGTTCTGCCCAGCAACACCGAGGTAAGTGGGTCAGGTTATGGTAAATACGACTCAGAGACATTCAGTGATATTAAACTCCTGTGAAATGTCATAAAGCGTGATGTTAGCAGGGTTTGTGCTGCTGCAGCCACTACAGGTTGCTGCTGACGGAGACCCACTCCCAGGTGAGTGTGTGTGGCGACGGCGTGGAACGGCTGCTGCCGCTGCTTCACCTGCCGGTGAAGGACAGCAGAGACTTCTACTCCCTGGCCGACATCGTGGCCAACGGCCAGCAGCTGGACGGCGCCGTCATCAACGTCCTGGCAGCCGTCAAACTGGTACGGGGCGCCGGCTTCCCGATTCAGCTCCGCTGCTGTGCACCAAACCAGGGTGTCCAAGCTGCGGCTTGGGGGCCGACTGTGGCATTTCAAGAGTGATACAAATCTGAGGACAGGTGGTGGATGCAGACGGAAACTTTTTCTCTGTAGTCAGGGTAGAATCATCACTGACATCTTAGAATGCTAAATGCTAAATACGACACAAAGTATTAATCTTTTTATAATCAAGATTTTATGAGCTGAAACAATCAATCAGATTAATCAATTATTGAAAAGATCCATCCATTGTCTTCCACGCTTATCCCTGATGGGGTGCTGGTGCTGCTCTCCAGAGGTCAACAGCCGAGAGGCGGGGTCACCTGGACAGGTCGCCCGCCCATCACAGGGCATATTGAAATAATCCCCTAATCAATTAATCATTAACTGGACTATAGACACTCTACAAAAGAACAACAACCTCAGAACTGTAATTTAACCAAAACTGGACAATAAATCTATAAATTTTGCATTTAAGATAAGAAAAAAAACTTCTTTGTCTGTAAATCTGTCCTACCAGAACTGTACTTCAGTTTTAGCTTCACCTGGTTCACATCCAGTAGAAAATCTACTGAACACGTTTTCTATCCAGTCATTAATCAGTTTATCAATAATAATCTCCAGGTCATCCATGCACACTATTGATGTTCAGATTTTCTCGTGTTGATTTTTAGCTGCAGATGATCAAATTGTTTGTTTGTTTTTTTGTTGTTGTTTTGAATCTTTTAATGTGTACAAAGATGCAATAAAGTTCATGTTCAGGTTAAACATATAAAAACGCTTCAGTTTTCTGGTGGCGCTCAGACGGGTTGCAGTGTTTTTGGTTAAATATGCAGGATAATAAAGCTGACAGTGAAACCTGGAAGGATTGAAGCTGCTGCCGTCTGAAGCGGTCTGTTTCCTCTGGTCAGATCGGAGAAACGAAGCAGTTTGTCACCTCAGACGGACGCAGAGGCCAGAGGCTGGAGCTGAAGCTGTTTGATGACTCCGTCTCATCGTTTCCCCTCATCAGGTTTGTTTGGGACCGCCACGTTTCCTCCTGATGCCTCCTGATCAGGGATTTATGATCATTTATCTTTGTTTGCCCCCAGCTGGGACCGGGAGGCCATTCAGCTCCTGCAGAACCTGGTACCCAGAGAAACCGGTAACAGCTGCTTCTCAGCCCAGCTGCTGGATTCTCTGCCTCTCCATTCGCTGAACTGGTTTTATTTTCCAGTTCTCTTTGTTGCCGATACAAAGATGAGTTTTGACAGCTTCCGTGGCAGCATGGTGGCGACGGTGAGCTCCAAAACCATCATTACTGTCAACCCTGGTGAGAAAACACAGCCACACAGTCTGAGCGATCAGAACCAGATGCAGTAACATCAGGTTTTAAAGTGTCTAAATGTGGTCACTGGTCCTCAGACACGAGAGAAGCCAGCTTGTTGTTCAGCTATGTGAAAGACCTGTCAGAGTCTGGAGCTCTGGACCAAGATGAGGCTCTGGAGGATCCACCTGGTGGGTTTCAGGAGCAATTACACTCTGGAACCTGATGAGTCATCATTTCCTCTGTTTTATTCAGTATAATTGGATCATGCAGGTGAAGGCAGTAGGAGTCGCACGCTGCTCTTTAACACAATTTATCATATCTATTTTACATATAAAAATCCCAAACTGGAACCTTTTTAGTCCCATGTTTCTGGTACGCCTGTTAATCTGACGCACTAGCTACATCCGCCAACAGCAGCAACAGCAAAGAGTCTTCCCTGGTCCACTCTGCAGTGTTTTGTTGCAGTAACTGCGGCGTCTTGTTGCAGTGGCGTCCATCACAGCCGTGTTCACGGTGAAGCAGCTAAAGGAGAAGGCCAGAGAAAACGCCGAGCCGTTCTTCAGCCTCGCCTACGGCTTTGTCTCCAAGCTGGACCTGGACTCGTCCGTGTCCAAAGTGGTCAGGACGCGCTGGTACTCCAACTCACTGCCCCAGACGGCTCCTGAATGCACCACGGTGCCGGCGACTGTGCGCTGACCCGCTTTGCCTCCCAGTGCCAGGTGCCGCTTCCTGGTGCAGCAGGAGCTGCAGCGCTGCAGCAACCCACTGTGTCCGGGCGGCGAGCGGCCGCTGACGGCCTGCACCGCCTTCGACCTGCTGGTGGACGTCACCGACCACACCGGTACCCTGCAGGCCTGCAGCTTGCGCGGCCCCGTGGCAGAGCAGACCCTCGGCTGCACGGTCCGTTCCTCCTCACTGACGCATCTGGGGTCAAAGTTCACCAGTAGACCAACCATCCCTTCCTGTGTTGCAGACGGAAGAGTTTGTCGGTTTGACCGACGGTCAGCGGACGGCGCTAAAGTGGAGGTTTCTGCTGGAACGGTGCAAAATATACCTGAAGGTACCGCAGGCATGGATTGGTGTTGCTATGGAGACGAGTCAGGTGTTTAATGCCAGGGATGTGTTACAGATCCTCCCCTGTGCCAGGATGAAGAGCGGGATGAGGGGGACGATCCTGGCCTGTTCGCTGGCCGACCCCGGAGAGGTGAAGCAGAGCATGTCTGCCCTGCTGCAGGAGCAGTGATGCAGCCGCAACTAACTAACTCACAGATAATATTTATTTAACTTATTCATCTAAATCTATTTATTCTGTTAGCATGGACAGCTTGTTAGATTATTAAATATGTGTTAAATAAATGATTTAAAAGCATCCATAGCTATTCTGTGAAATGTTTCAATATTTATTATATTTATTAAGTGTTCAATACTGAACTCAGGATTCGTCTGCAGTTTGAAAAGGTATTTTAATGTCAAGATAAAGAAAATTGCAAGAATATTTATGTTTGCAGACCCTCTAAAATTTCATCCATCCATCCTGTATTTAAAATTTTACTTAGAAAATATGGAGGTCAAACCCTGTCAAAATTGTAATAAATACTTAAATGAATAAATTGCTTGATGGAGTAAATAACTTGCCAAATATTGCATCAAAAAATGATAACTTTACCTACTTGTTTAATTATAGTGTGACATAAATTAATATTTTTTATCATCTACAACAGCAATTTAATAACTTAGTATTCCTCTTCAGAAAGTGTAATAAACAGATGTATAATAAAGTGAGCCAATTTAAAAATAAATACAGAAATTATACATAGAGAATATAGAAAAAATGATTAAATGGAAATGTGAGTAAATAGAAAATGTTAAATTAATAAGAACATAAATAATGAAATAAGAAAGGAAACTCATTGAGCAATAAGCATGGAAATAAAATGGAACATTAAATAATATAAATAATAATATAAAATAAATAAAAGTTATTCTTTTAGTTTTTGGATGCAATCAATACTTAAACAGGTCATTTATTTATCTCCATATTTTATCCGTCCTCCATAGTAAAAGTCTAGAAAAAGTTATCTTCCATTCAGGAAAAAGATGTTTAAAGCTGCAGTCTGTTCAGGTATAATGAAATGCACCAGCAGGTGGCGGTAGTGTTCCATTATTTTATCCAGGCGGAACTCTTTAGGCCCAGTTTCAGGTTTCTGACGAACATTTTACGGAGCCGTGCCAGCACAGGAGCGAGAACAGAAGGTAATGTAAACAAAATAAACACTTTATTTATCAGAAACTGTGTTTTAGTTCTAGCAGAGCTAGATTTATTTATTTTCTAGAAGCTAAGCTGGTTAGAATCAGACGTGGTGACGTCATAATGTGTTTTTCTGACGCTGGTAAAGGGAATATTTCTTGTTTTTAAGCTTTGGCAGGGTTCACCTTCCAGCTGCAGAACCATGAATGTGAACCAAGGGACGGTGGGCAGCGACCCGGTCATCCTGGCCACGGCCGGATACGACCACACGGTCCGGTTCTGGCAGGCCCACAGCGGGATCTGCACCCGGACGGTCCAGCACCAGGACTCCGTATCCTGACCCACAATCAGCCGAAACCACAAGTTTACAGCCTTTTACCGCCCTGTCTATCTGAGGTTAAATCAGAGCAACTTTATAAGTTGCATACTTATATGTCGTATAAGACATAATATAAGGCAATATTATGTCTTATATTGTGCTTTATTTGATTACACTTTACTTACTATAGCGCGTCACGTAGCATTGCGTCCACAAAGATTCATTTTCTCTCAAATGTTTTGGATATGTTGAAAAAATTGGCAAATCATTTTAAGTCACATCCCACAGAAAATCAGGGAATGTTGAACCGCGAAGAGCCGAGGGATTTTAATATTAGGAATGTTAGGAGAATAAACTTATAACATCAGGGGAATTAAGTGGTAATATTAGGGGCTTAAAGTCATAAGTTTACGAGAATAATCTTAACTTCACATGAATAAAGTTTTCAAATAAGAATAAAGTCGTAACTTTACAATAAATTTGTAACAGGACTTTATTCTAAAAGTTACTATAAAAACAGAAGTAACTGTCTTCTTTATGCTTTATATTATGTAAAGCACTTTGTGGTTTCTGGCCTGCAAAAGGTGCTATGTAAATAAAGTGTACATAAAGTTTATTACTCACGTTGCCTTGGAGCTGAATGACTTTAGGTTCTGGGTTTCCTTCCAGAAGCTTCTCTCCATGGTTTTCTGGAGTTCTGGTCCATTCCTGACAGAACCAGCAGAACTGGGTCAGGATTGTAGTCTGACTGGATGCGGAGGGACATCTGGGCCCATTTGGACCTGTTTGGACCTGACTTTAACTTCCTGGCTGATGTCTATCCATGTTGCATCTTTTTTATGAATTTCATCAGTTCCTCCTGCAGTAAAACAGTCCCCGCAGCATGATGCTGCCACCCCCACAAGGTATTTGGTTTTTGTTCTGGGGTTTTGGACCAGAACCCGTCCATGACATCTTCATCTGGGCTTTCCCTCGTTACTTAAAGAGACAGTAATCATTCTGTATGTAAGCTACAGCATTAAGACATTTGAACATTTTCAGTGGTTTAATAATCTGCCCGGTAACAGGTGATCCTTAACTCCTCCCTGCAGCAGGTGAATTCTCTGGAGGTCACACCTGACCGCAGCATGATAGCTGCTGCAGGTCAGTTCGACACTTCAACTGTTTTACATGTTCTATGTTATCTGTTTCAATAAAGCAGGTTTATATGTGGAAGGATAAAGATTCTTCAAAATGTTTACAACTAAAAATCTGAAAAGTGTGGTGGGTGTTTCTATGTGTTCATTTGAATCACATTTCGCTGCAGTCTTTACGGTTCTACCAGCTTTGAGCATCTGCAGACTGGAGCTGTTTCTCATTCTTGTTTGCTCCGACTGCATAAAGAAGCTTCTGCTTGTTGTGTCTGAATCTGTGATTTCCAGGCTATCAGCACATCCGCATGTATGACCTGAACTCTAACAATCCGAACCCGGTCATCAACTACGACGGCGTCAGCAAGAACATCACGTCTGTGGGTTTCCATGAGGACGGGCGCTGGATGTACACGGGAGGAGAGGACTGCATGGCTCGCATCTGGGACCTCAGGTACCACCGGTGTTAGCTCGCTGTTAGCTCACCGTTAGCTCACCGTGCAGCAGGCTGAGCCGCTGTCCTTGTTCAGGTCCAGGAACCTGCAGTGCCAGAGGATCTTCCAGGTCAACGCTCCCATTAACTGTGTGTGTCTACATCCCAACCAGGTGAGTCTGCTGGCTCCAGAGTAACTAGTTACATTTACCTGAGGAAGTTTTTGGGAGAAATATACTTTTACTGTGCTGTACGTTTTAATTTCTACTTGAGTAATTTTATTATGACGTATTGCTACTCATACTTGAGTAAAATGTATTAACTTATTTTAACCAAACCAGACACAGACCTGCAGTTTTTGTCATTTGGAAAAAATGTTTCTTTTGCCTGTTTTTATTTTGCAGTTGTGGTATTTATATCAATTATTTTCATTTTGAAATATTTTAATTTCCACATAACTTTATATTTTGGTCCGTCTGATGATGTAAATTTTAAATATTAAATGATTCATCATTTCATCAGTTACTCAGTACCTGAGTTTTGCCAAATACCTGTTTACTCTAACTTGACTAATTTCTTAGACAGGTACTTTTTACTTTTACTTGAGTGAAAACATGTTGAAGTAGTTCTGCTTTTGCTTGAGTTCAGTTTGTTGCCCTCCTCTGCACACCCCAGTTTGGGAAACGGTTTGCCTCCAGATAAGCTGACGCTGCGGTTTGTGTTGGAGTCACGCAGCGTTTGTCCACCTGGTTGCAGAAAGCAGCGTTTGCTTCATGGTCTGTGTGTTTTCCAGGCTGAGCTGATAGTCGGAGACCAGAGCGGCGTCATTCACGTCTGGGACCTGAAAACGGATCACAATGAGCAGTTGATTCCAGAACCTGAGGTTTCCGTCAACTCGGTCCACATCGACCCAGATGCCAGCTACATGGCTGCAGTCAACAGCTCGGTCAGTCAGGCAGCACAGAGCACGAGCCGGCAGGGCCGTCACTGGGTTTTAAGGACGATGGGGGTTTAGGCCCCCAGCGAGCGAGAACAAAATGGCTCAAACTGCAACAAAACCGAAAGATGCTTTCCATTTTTAAAATAGAAAACTCTCCTACTACAAAATATGACTGTAAACAGTTCATAAATATAACATAAAATTATTTCCTAGCAAACATTGCTCAGATAATAATAATTCTCTGCAGCTAAAATTATTAGGTTCCTTTAGAAAAACTTCAGTGCAAACTTTCATGCCTGTGTCATCTTCTGAGTAGTTAGTCATGTTTCATACCAAGCCACTGACTATTATACGAGTAATTAAAGGGGAGCTGACAAATTTCATTTAATTTAATTTCAGTTTATTTGATTGGGACAGACACACATTGACATCACGTCATAATGCTTATAGCAAAAGCTAATCCGTAGCACTTGTTTTAAACAGTACATCTAAAAACTAGTAGAAAGTGAAATAATAATCATTTTAAATAATGCAACATGATGTTAACATTTATGATCTTATTTGAGTTAAAGGGGCAGTATTATGTTTTCCAGGCACATGGTGCCATTTTATAACTCAATTAACGGTTACATTCAATTGTTATAAAAATGCATACATACATATATA